GCGAGTTGGGGGGGGGGGGGGGGCTGGGATTGACGGAGGGGAAGAGGGGAGGGAGAGAGGAAGGGCTGGGAGTGAGGGGGAGATGTAAATGAGGGGATGAAGGAGGGATGGGGGAGTGGTGTGAGGGGGGTGATGAGGGAAGTGAGGGAGTGAGATATGTAAATGAGGGAATAGAGTTGTGGTGGGAGGGAATGCAGGAGTGGTGTGAGGGATGGATGAGGGGAGTGAGGGGGTGAGATATGTAAATGAGGGAATGGAGGCGTGGTGGGAGGGATGGGGGGAGTGAGTGAGGTGAGGGGTGGGCTGAGTAAGGAGGGTGGGGAGGAAGAAAGAACGGACGTGAGAGACCAGGATGTAATTAGGACTGTAATGTGAAAATTGATTACAATTTACCAGAAAAATCATTGTCCAGTAGCCATACCTACGTAACTACATTATTTTTTTTTATAAAGCGTGACAGTCACGTACTATAAAGTCAGGTTGTCAGAATTTTGTTTAATGCTTAAAAAATAATGTTACGGTGACAAACAAGTATTGTCAACAGAATAACTTAAGTATCTTAGTTGGCGGTATTGATTTTACGAATACTGAGGTCCGGCTAACGGACAAGTACCATCGGAAGTTTATTTGGTCTCGTGACTTCCTGCACGTAAATATCAGCCACTTCACCCCCCCCCCCCTCTTACCCTCCTAACCCACCCCTTTTCTTTGCTTCACGCTGACCCATTTCTCTCCGTTTGCTACTTTAACCCGGGTACACAGACCTCTATGTGACATGGCAGTCCAGTGTTTAGTCCAGGTCGTGTGTGGTGGGGGAGGGGTGGGGAGGATTGGAGCTGGGGGGATTGGGGGGGGGGGGGGGGGTTAAAGCCGGATTATCGTATCAAGGAGCCGGCCAATATTTGCCGACACAGTCAGCTGACCGCCTATGTCGTCAGGGGGGTCAGAATGGCAGCAGTCGACCCCCACGTGGACTGGACCGGCCGCTAAATCGCCCGAGTCCTACTGGGAGGCAGGTACGATTAGGTGGGTCAACAAGAGGCGACTTAGGAGGTATGTGGGGTAAAAAGCCGGGGGGGGGGGGGTTACACTAAAAGGGAAACTTATCGATGATCTATTCTTCAAAGACTTCAAGACAAAAGTGTCTTTAACGCCAATAAAAGCCAGGACTGAGAGCGCAATACTAACAATTTTGTGTAGTAAATGGTGGTGGGGAGGGGTCGGTGTAGAAGTGGCACAATAGGTAAAGAGTTTTAATCTCATGGGTAATATAATTCTGTAAACACATGAAGTACAAATGTTGTCTTCTTGGTCGTCCACATACGTCAAGCTCTTTACCGACGCCATAACAACCCCCCCCCCCTTACCCCCAAATCACATTTTAAACAAATATTAAACAGTATGACTTGTAATTAAAAGAAAAATTAATAAAGCGACGTCACCGTTTTTTTTAACGTGATATCATTTGAGGACAACCCCGGCCCCCTTAATTAAAACCAAACCAAATTGGACTAATTACGCTTAGTTTTATTACCCGATTTAAAGAAACAGATAAACAACTTTTTTTTTTCAATGTGTAACCATGCAATAAGCCGCGAGGTGTATTCGAAGTACACAAACAAATGCAATGGAATGTATCATAACCGCAAGGGAATTCCCATATTAGAAGGCTGAAAACACTCCCAAAGGACGCGGGGATTGGTACTAGAAAGTTGGGAGATAGACCTCCTTGGTTAGAGAGAATATCTAGACCGCGTACCATTAGATATGGACTCAATCAATGCGCATTTTAACTATTGGAAACGTGACATTAGTGGCTCGTAAATTTAGGAAGGTGGTACGTTTTTTTTTTAAACAAGGGAAACAAACAGAGCGATTGTTGGGGGAAAACAAAACAAAGTGTATTCTAATTATTCAAGGGCATGAATGATTAAGCACCCGGTAGGCCTGGTATGAAGGGTTGGATTTGAATGGGTGGATCGGAGAGGGAGGGGGGGGGGTGATTATGTGGAGGTGGGTTCTAGTTGGGTTTATACGGAGATGTGGGTTTAAGAAACTTGGGTTTAGAAATGTGGGTTTAGGATATGTTGGTTTTTTTCAGGTGTAGAATTAACGGTTATTTTTTTTAAATTAGAGAAATTTGGAGAATGTTTCTAGTACGGGGGCGGGGGGTATTGTTGGGTAATGGAGAAGTGAGTTTTAGACATGTAGGTTTTGGATATGGGGATTTTTAGATGCAGGTATTATGGTAATTTTTGTAGTAAGGAAAATTTAAGAAGTTGGGTTAGAGAGGTGTGTTTTGAAAAAGGTGTATTCCACGTGATTTTGGTGAGGTGGGATTAGCTGATGTATATTGTAAAAAAAAAGCAGGATTTTGGAGAGGTAGATTTTAGTAGAGGTGGCGACCCATAGTGGGATTTACATTGATAGATTCTGTACTAGAAGATGTTATGTAATGTTGATATATGCAGAGGTGGACGCTGGGGTGTGTGTGGGGGGGGGGGGAGGTCTTCTGTTTACATTCACGTGGAAATTGCCACGATATCGTAGTGTCTGTGTGTGGTGTCACCACATCGTGTGGGTATCCACAACTTGGTGTCTGTGTGAGATGTCAAACTGATCTATCTGCGGCGTTAAACAAACTCGAACCTGCCGGGTTTAAAGTCGACATTTAACACCCCACATCAAACCTCTAGACTCGTGGGTTCTATCTACCTTAAGTCTTCTATACCAGGGGTTCTTAACCTTGGCCATTCAAGGGGTCCAGGATGAGATCTTCGTGGATATGTAAATTTAGGAGTAAATACATTTGTACTGTGAATTTTCGTTGAGTTAAAAAAAACAGCAAAGAACTTAAAAGGAAATTAAAAGAACTAAAATAAATATAAAAATAGAAATTTTAAATTGGTATAAAGATAACGACAACAAGCCAAAAGCAGAAAATTTAAACCCTTATCAAAGAGAAAAAGTTTCCTGTTTTATCATCAACGTGATAATTATGACCCCCCCCCTCCCATTTTTTTTTACTTTAAATTAAATAAAACCCACATTTTTTTTTCTCTATTGGCAAGGGTGGGAGATGTGCATAAAAAGTTATAGAACTTCTAGTCTAAATGGACTTGTTGTTTTTAGTCCAAGTTCCCGGGGAGATTTGTACTCCACGAATTTGTTTGAGACTCTTCCGCACATTTTTATAAAAAGATCTGACAAAATCTGGTGAAACGGGAGGGGGAGGGGGTGGGGGGTGTTCTAGGCCCAGACAAACTTGTTTCTTGTCAATATTTGGTTAGAGAGTAACAGTGGCCGGGAGGTGTTGGAAAACTGACGAGGCGCGCAGTGTGCTTTGTGGTGGCCGTCTAGCGATGTGTTGCTGGCGTGTTGGCCGTTTAGCGATGTGTTGCTGGCGTGTTTGCCGTCTAGCGATGTGTTGCTGGCGTGTTGGCCGTCTAGCGATGTGTTGCTGGCGTGTTGGCCGTCTAGCGGTGTGTTGCTGGCGTGTTGGCCGTTTAGCGATGTGTTGCTGGCGTGTTTGCCGTCTAGCGATGTGTTGCTGGCGTGTTGGCCGTCTAGCGGTGTGTTGCTGGCGTGTTGGCCGTCGATGTGTCGATGTGTCACAAGCGTTTAGGTCGTGTATGTGTCACCACAAACACTAGTGTGTTGTCAATCTATTTGTGTAATGTTGTATGGACACTACGAGTCGACATTATTTTTATGTGTCCGCAAAGTGTGTGTTGTGATATGTTAAATTCAATGTCCGGATCTGACAAACGTGTACCGAGTTTAGTAAAGTGGGTACACACACAAAAGAAACATCAACAAAAGACACACCAACACAAAACTAACACACCAATACAAAACACGCAACAACAAAGAAGTCAAAGACATACCATCACAAAGTCTGGAGAAAAGAAAACAAGACTCCCAAAACAAAATGACCCATATTTCATTCAGCCGCACCCTCCCCACTGTCCCAACCCAAAGCAGCCCGTAAAACATGCTAGACAACAACATCAACAACACAATTGTTATCAGCCACATCTTCTACAATACCAGGACAACACTCGGCGGGAGGGCGTCTACCACAGAAATATTTGAATGTAAACAACCTATTTAGTAGGAAACATATCGAGGGGGGGGGGTGTATGTGTGAACGCTTGTAATGCAGGGGTGGGGTGGGGGTATGTGTATGTATGAATACTTGCAATTCCGGGGTGGGGGTATATGTGTAAATCTTGTAATTCGATATTGAGAGTAACACTATCCTAGCCTAGGATGTAGTAAATATAGAGATGACATGATATTTCTATGAAAACGTCATTGTTTTGGGAATAGAAGTCACATGACAACAGGGATACATTGTGTGACATATTTCAAATCGGTTGTTTCAACTGAACAACAACAAACACATCAAACTGAAGACTGAGCATCCGTCGAAGCAATGCGTCGAAGCGATGCGACATTCAATAATATTTTTTTAGGGCTTGGGTTTAGGTTTGGGGGTGCCGTATTGTTTTAAAACATAGGATCGAAAATACCCAATCTAAACATGGCACTCAGATACTGGGTTTCGGTTTGAACAAGAAATTACTAAATAAGGAATAGACTGATTACTAGACTTAGAATATTAGATAGTGTAAAAAAAACAAGAAATTACTAAATAAGGAATAGACTGATTACTAGACTTGGAATATTAGATAGTGTGGGGAGGTGGGGGGGGGGGGGATTGTCGGGCGTATTGAAAAGACAAATGAAAAAATTTAGTGACTCTCCGTGAGATGGGGCCCTCACAAGTCACACACAATGTAAACATACAAAAAATGACGGGACTTACTTCGGGGTGGTGGGTGAATAGGTGGGGGGTGTGTCCTAATATCACAAACAATCAACAAGAATGTTATAGAGGTGATGATAGAGTGTCCCCCAAATCCTATGGAAGTAACAGTCGTGGGTGAGGGAGTTCCAACATGACCAACACAAAACGGATTACAAAACTGACTTACCGGAGGTCCGGGCGTCCACATGGCCGTGGGGGTGAGCGAGGGTATGGCTTTAGTCTTACTCCTCCATCGCTTGGGGAAGATGCGCGCTCCTGGCGACGAGGGCTTGACCTTGTGCATAGCTGGTGAGCAAGAGAAGGATATTGGGTAACTCAAAAATCCAAAGTCGTCCCCATCTTCGTCGTCGCTATAGTTACTGGACATCTCCTTGTCGGCTTCCGCTTCCGCCTGGAGGTCAGGGAGTGACCTGCTTCTGGTCATATGCTGCGGGAGGTCACTTGCGGTTTTAGAAGGAGCTCTTCCGCTTCTTCTAGACGGGGCGGGGTTAAAGTTTAACGGGGTGTGGGTTAAGCTAGAGGTAGATCTGGGACTTCCGGTTTCTCTAGAACTACTGGTGGAGCTTCTAGGGGAGTAGAACTGGGCGCTGCTAGTCTCTGACACGGTGTCTAGGGTGACTAAGTTTAGTCGTTTCTTGTGAGGCATTCTGGGGTCTACATGGTTAGGGTTAGGTTTAACACAGTACATGCTGGCGCTAGGCCTAATCAACACAGGCGCATGCAAGGGGTCAAGGTTAGCGGGGGCGTCATGATGGGTCACGTGATGGTTCTCTTTGGAGCTACCGTTGGATGAGATGGAGGAGTTTGGTGAGAAATGATAGAGGCAGAAGTCCGAGGGTTTGACCAGGAACTCGTCCACTCGACCTAAGCGTGCGGGGAGCGAGGGCACGTAGCGGGGGTCCAACAAGACATACTCAGATTCTATCTCACCGTCGCTGGAGGTCCGGTTGATCACAGGCGCAGGTTCGAAACCCTGCGGCTCGTACGACACCGTCCGCCGGAGCTGTTGGTCACTGCCGCGGCGTGAGTACGTCCCATAACTCTTGTGAAAGTCAACCAAATCACTACTTCCGGTCGAGGATTGGTCACTATGGTGCGCGCTCACCACACGGACCGTCCCCGGATTAACATAATTCCCAGGCATCTTATCCCCTTGTTCATTAAGACACTGCATGGATCTACTTTTGTACGCACGATCCAGTCTCTCTCTGCCGATATTACTCCGCTGTTTGTAATCGTCACCAATATCCAACTGCGCATGCGTGGCCAAACTAGACTGACCCGTTGTTTCTTTACTCCCCGAGTTGACGGCTCGCCTAGAATCCGAGTTCCCATTTCCCATTAAGAAGCTTAACTTCACATAGCTGGGACTCCACTTATCAATGTCCGGGTAGGAAGATAATTGACCGCTTGCTTGGTCGATCGATGGACTTTTGACCAGGCCGTTTGACGGTCCGTTTTTGGGCACGACTTCCGGTATTTTCGTCGCGTTGATTCTTAAAATACCCGATTTCTTGAATTCATTTTTAGGACGGTCGTTAGGAAATGGTCTATGGCGGCCGCTGGTTAAGTCGTTCATGTCATTTAACGATGAAAGGTCGTGGGAAATCTGAGTACAAGAAGCAGATTTGGGAACACGGCCAAGACTCGAAGTCCACTCGGTCGTTGGACGGTCGATGTGACCGTTGAGTCGATGTTGTCCCACGCGTCGGGTGCGTTGGTCGATGGCGGGTTTGACGTCCAGTGGCGGTTTGACATCGACCAAAAACCCGTTGACCATGACCCTGGTGTTACCAGAATGGGGCAGCGATGACGCAGAAGATGACGAGAGCGGTGACGTCATGTTGCTGGAGGGCTGAGAGAAGTTCACGAGCGAGGAGCTCTTTAAACTGGAGGAGCTCAGTTTACGGACAGCGTCCTGGGATTTGTCCTGGAACAAATCCTGGGGCGTGTTCTGGAACAAATCCTGGGGCGTGTTCCGGGATTTGTCGAGGGCTGGCTGGTACCCAGAGAGAGCCGGCACGTGCAGATTCCGTCCACGGTCTGGCACCGGGGCGTCGACGCCGTACGTCAGGAACTCCCTGCGGTGCCCGCCCCTCTGCTGCGACAAAACGATGCCTGGTCTGGAGTTCGGCATGGCACTGAAGCTTGTCACTAGCACCATGACACCATGCCACCTGTCATGTGACTTTCAGGTCAGTTCCTAAATATTCGACCCGGGCAACGATCTACAACACCGCCCGGTAATTTGTAAAATTTACAACCATCTCTTGCAAAACGGTAACGAGTTCAAAACTGATTAAAGACTGTATCATTTAACAGGAAACCTAGTTCACAAATTAGAAAATTCAATAAAATTTAAAATCAGAAAATAATTATTGATGCAGAAGATTTTGACCAATTTTAAATAAATGAAGAAATTAATATTCACTGATAAATACTCCAAAAAGAAAAACCTCAAAAAAATTAATTTCCGATTGAAAAAAAATTATACTGGTATAAAAAACCATTCTAAAACACAATTATTTTTTTAAACTTCGCGATGAAGGAAAAACAAAAAGAGACAGAGAAAGGCGATTCTCTCAAGCAATGCGACGAATGTTAGCTGCCCGAAAATGAACCGGCACAAAAATAACCCTCTGGGAAATCGTAACAAGAAATATCAGACGGACGAGATCGATATGTGAGCGGGTCACACGGACAAATGGAAAATGTCCGTGTCTGAAATAATGCTGGCCTGTTGCGGAATGCCTTAGATTTGGAGACAAAAAAAATATTAATGCTTTATAATGGGGACTTAGGGGAAATACTAGACTAAAATACGGTATAAAAAGTAGAATTCCGCATGTTTTGAACTGGGGACAAACATATTTCAAGTGTTTAAAATAATGATAGCCTATAGCTGAATGTCTAATATTGAGGAGAAATGAAAAGAAAAAATTAATGCCACCAAAATAGGATGTAAGGAAAATGGAAATACAAATGCTTTACACAAGGGACAAAAAAAAAACGTTGCCTAGGTATATTTTCTAAACTGTTGCGCAATAGTTTAAATTAAGGACAAAGGGAAAATACTAATGCCCTATACCAGGAACAATAGAGGAAATACTAATGTCTTTAGCTGGGGAGGGGGGAGGAGTGGGGATGTGTATCTGTGACATTGCCATCCTCACGTTCTGTGATTTATGACGACGAAAAAGGAAATACTTTTTATTCTAGGGTCGGAATAAATGAACAATATAAACGGCTGAAATATCTAGATCCAATAGAAACAATTGGGAATACGAAAGTTAGGAGTTTCACTATAAGTTTTTTTTTTTTTAAATTCGAAACATTCCTTTTATATATATTATATGGTGAGAGTCGTGACTTTACCCCCCCCCCCCACCCCCTCCAAAAAATAACCCACTTCGTTAAAAAAAAAACCTTATTCTATAACTGGACTCAAACCACGAACCTAGCTTGAACTTCAACCGTTTGATTGTAAGCGCTATCTAAAATTTGATAGTAATATTAAATAACAAACAATTTAACGAAAGTATTACTTTAAACTATTGGTAAACTTTTACTACAGTAAACATTTTTAATTGGGGCTTTTAATAAACAATAGGCCTATATAATATCCTTGATAACGTTTTTGTTTAAGCACGTTTCAAAGACCAAGAACTAAAAATAAATTTCCCACGTTTAAATATAAAAGAGGAAATGAAACAAGTGGAGAGAAATCCCCTAAAGTTACTGTAAACACCCTAATCTTAACATTTCCGTGTCCTTACTCGTGTAACTCAACTAAAGTAAAACACATCTCGGGACCATCTGTGTTAATGTTACACTTTAGACCCCCCCCCCCCAATACATTCACCTCTCCTAATAAAAGTGCCAGATTTCATCATTCCATCAAGTTTTTTAACCGTGTGACGTCAGACATCAACAGGTACCAGCAGTTCCAGACACACAATTTTATGACATCCCTCCCCCCTCCCCACTTACCCTTTCATATTTCTCTACTAGATCTATAACCACTCAATGAATATTTTAACCCAATGAAAAAAAAAACACCTCTTCTTGAGCGCTAGTACTATTGCTATAAACACCGAAGCCGTGCCTATAACAAAGGTATTGTGCTATTCTTATTAGATCGATTACTAGATCTAGATCTATTATCTATAGCTATTGAATCAGTAAAAATAACAAAAAGATAGTGATAGCTTCACCGAATATAAACAATACTTGGTTTCGTACTGTGAAGCCAATATTAATTATCTGATAAGCCCTCGCCTACTACTAGTCTACTACACAGTATAGTATAGATCAAGTAGGCCTACATTACATAGTCATACATAGTACTGTACTATTAATATACTACTACATTATATTTTACTAATAAAATAGTAAAAAATTTGAAATTAAATTAAAGATAGGCTCGACTCCAATAGATAACTCGCGATAACTCAATTAATTACAAACACAAATTATCAATTTAATGTACTGTAATAGAGTGGTAATTGACTAGAATAATTTAATTTTAAAATCCTAAATAGTAAATACGTCACATAGAAAGCGAAATGAAGACCCGGATTTCGGCCACGATCGAAAGCTAGATCTAGTACTTAGACAATCAAACACTTGTTGCTGTACTCCACACGTGAACACACTATCCAACCAACCACCTTCATTACCATTTCACCAGCACAGCATTTCAAACGGTGTGTAATATTCCAGTGAAAATAAACCACATCACAACGTTATCCTAAGCAGGCGACACATGTCCCCGGTAGAAAAAGTCCTTTAGCCGACCAGACGGCCGAATCCCTTCACAGAAATTCCTCCAACACTCTCCGTGTGGGGAACTGCCTTCGCGTTTGTCGGTCAACTACACCGAAAACTGAGGGGGGACCTCGCTACTACAATAATATCACGTGACAAGATTTCAACCCGCTGGTCACGTGGTTATTGGGATACGCGGGGCTATTTATAGATCTGGGGCGGCAAACCGGTCGAGTTCACAGGCGTTTTGCGTGTGTTGTTTCCCTTGGTCAGACATTTTGCGTGTGTTACTTCCCCTTCTTGTTGTAAAGCTATTGTGTCCACTGAACTGCCATTTAGCATGAATTCCAACACCGTTTAGGGCCATTCCCAGCGCTGGTGACACCTCTCTATTCTTTATGAGCACAAGATAGAGCACGATTTATTCTCCCCCTTCTTTTGTGAATGCATAAAATTAACATATTAAACATTTTTAGGGGCCATCCATAAATTACTTCATGCGCTGTTGTCATGTAGATATTTAGGGTTGGAGTGGTGGTTGTGGTGGGGGTTGTGAACGGCGTATATGAAATATTTTATATTTAAAATCTAAGAATATGTGTCACAAATATTGATGATCATTTTAGCACAAAAGCATCATATTATTTTTTTCAGTTTAAAAGATAACATCCTAGGCAGCATACAGAGCCATCTAAAACATGTATTCATTGGGGGATTTAGCTTGACTAGCACGTTATGCTATAAGTAGACAGTAGTAATGTGTACACAATCTTATAGATCTCCAATAAGGCACCATGTTCCTCATCGGTTTACTCACACTAGGGGTTTTTTCCAAACATTTTTCTCCGGAGCTGGGAGAGAGGGGACTTGAAGCTTCCGGGACTTTGGTTAAAGTATGTATAATTTATATATAATTTAAATATTTTTTTTTTATTTCATACATGCTTCTGCTACCCCCCCCCCCCACCATAACAGTGGCCTTAAAGAAAAATGACGCACACTTGTTGATTAGCTATCTGATCGCAATTTCTTCTGCTCCCTCACCCTCCTTCCCTCCCCCATCCCAAACTTCTATTGTTTTTACTGTCAGATTATACTTATCTTTGTGGAGAAAATAACACATTTTAAAAACGTAGGTTTCACATTTTTCTAAAAAATTCTCGTCCATACAACCTGACCGTGATAGAAAGACGTACAGAAGCCAGAGATCTAAGAGAAGGCTAAAGGGAAATAATCAATTTTAATGTTTCGTATTGGAAGTCACTCGGTTCACTAAGGTAATTATAAAATTAAACTGTTTGAAGGAACGAGAAAAAATAAAGTCTCTTATATTTTATTAAGTGCTCAAACTACAATATTTAGTCACCCGGCCGACCAATTTTAAGCCAGTCTAACAACTGAAAAAAACACCAGAATCAGCTTACATCATTATTATCATGGGAACGGTCACTCGACCTTTACAACTTACTGCACTTAAAACTTCATTTTGATGATTATTAATTAAAATTTCACCATAAACGACATACCATCAGACATTTGGTAGTAATGTTCCAGCAAGGGAGTGATATTTACTCACTATCGTTCACATATAGTGATGACATTTTTATAAGCATTACTAATAATGTATTTACTTTAAGTTTAAGTCCGGTGGATTAAGGAGATATTAAATAAGCAAAAAAAAAGAAGCTATATAACAATTTATCAAGCATCTAGATTTATTTTTTAAAAATACACAGAGGTCCAGTATGATAAGAAAGGATAGTTTTTCTTTCTGGGATTCGAAACCACGACCCCCAAACGTACCTCCCCCCCCCCGGCCTGCTCACATTGTCAGATTTAGCGGAAATTCTAACCGGTAAAGTTTCATCTCCCCCCCCCCCCCACCCCCTGCTCACCGCCAACACTTTCTACGACGTAGTCGGTCACCTACTTCTCAGAACGAGGCTCCTCAGGTGTGTACTCGTCACGGCCTGCCCCCCGGGGACGTGCAGCTACCTGTCAGGTGACAGTCCCAGTCGACACCCCGTGGATTGAACGATGTGACCTGACTCCCGGACCCCACCCCCTCGGAACTCCCCTCGCCTACTTAAACATTTCATGTTTTAGCAGTGAAGATTTCCGTTTTAATTGCGTCGGTAAAGTCAAGGTTGATTGATTTGATTGGAAAATGATGAAGATTGGAATGTATGAATGTAAAGGTTCACCAATAAATGATGCTCACAAACTGCTCAGTGATGTTTAGGTGAGTCACATAGGGGATTGTGTTCCGTAAATTAACTAATTGCCTTAGATATCTTCACACGAAGATTTCGACAATATCTAGAAATGGGCCATGAAACAAAATATCAAAGTACTTAGTAATGCGTTCACGGTAATTATTGAAACTAATTTATATGTTAGTGTTTATATTCTGTTATATGGTTTAAGCATACGTATCAATAATTTCGTAATTATGTATTTTCTGATTCATATAGTTAAAACAGAACTAGTAAGAAATTTAGAATGAGTTTAGGAGTGTAAGTTTTATAAAACCTTGTATAAACAAAGGCCCACGCATTTTACCAAACCGTGGTAAACGAATAAGGGAAGGTTCTTAGTAATGTTTTCATAATTAAACACACCTAGATCTATGTTTGTTTAACGCAAACACGTATTTTACTTCATTGCCATGATTTATAAACATTATCAGTTTGTTCGCTCAACGCACGCTACTCTCTATGCAAAGTTTACCAGCTTGCTTATATATGTGAACTACGAATAAACAGCAGTGTCTAAATACTCGAGCTAGCCTGCTAATACAACTCTTTTAAAACAGTTTGCAATCTTTAAGATAACCTGTAAACTTATACCAGGTTTCGCGGGGTCACCGGCGGTCAAGAAACGGGCGACCAAATTGTGATTACTGACTTTCAATGAATGCGAGGTATGTTTGATCACGTGATCTCACGGAAGGCAAGAAAGTTCTCGTTGATCAATTAACGTGCAGACGAAATTAATAGCTCTAATTAAGTCATTAGTCAGGTAAAATAAGTCATTAGTCAGGTGACTTCGCCACTGGGTCAACATCAACCGTCGAAATAATTGGTGAACAACTTTCAGGTATTGAATGCTGACACCCAAATATTAAAACAATGCTGACATTCCCAAATGTTGAAATAAGGCTGACTTTTCCAGGTATTCAATCCTGACATGCCCAGGTATTGAATGCTGACATCCAAATATTGAAACAATGCTGACATGCTCAGGTATTGAATCCTGACATGCCCAGTTACTGATTGCTGACATCCAAATATTGAAACAATGCTGACATGCCCAGGTATTGAAGCCATACATTCTCAGGTATTGAATGCTGACATCCAAATATTAAAACAATGCTGACATGCCCAGGTATTAAATACTAACATTATCAGGTAATGAATCCTGTATTGAATGCTGACATCCAAGTATTGAAATAATGCTAACATTCACAAGTATTGAATCCTGACACCCCAGGTATTGAACCAATGCTGACTTTTCCTCTGTAAGTCAGTGATTCACATCGAAGCATCCCACCCCTCAAGAGTTGGTTTCCTTTGTAGGCTCCCCAAATAGGCAACCCACCGCACCCCATCACGAAGTAGGTGCGACCCCACATCTGCCTTATGCCATTGTAGACTCCCCCTAATAGACACCCCACCACACCCCATCACGAAGTAGGCGCGACCCCACAACTGCCTTATACAATTGTAGGATCCCCAAAAAGACACCCCACCACACCCCATCACGAAGTAGGCGCGACCCCACAACTGCCTTATGCCAAGGTAGACTCCCCCAAATAGACACCCCACCACACCCCATCACGAAGTAGGCGCGACCCCACAACTGCCTTATGCCATTGTAGACTCCCCCTAATAGACACCCCACCACACCCCACCAAACCCCATCACGAAGTAGGCGCGACCCCACAACTGCCTTATGCCATTGTAGACTCCCTAAATAGACACCCAACCGCACCCCATCACGAAGTAGGCGCGACCCCACAACTGCCTTATACCAGTGTAGACTCCCCCAAATAGACACCCCACCACACCCTACCAAACCCCATCACGAAGTAGGCGCGACCCCACAACTGCCTTATGCCATTGTAGACTCCCCCAAATAGACACCCCACCACACCCCATCACGAAGTAGGCGCGACCCCACAACTGCCTTATGCCATTATCGCCTCCCAGATAGATGGCGTCACTAAGCAGAAGATAAAACTAATGAGCCGTTAATTGGGCAAGGGATCATGTCCCGACATTGTTTACATATTTCCTATCCCACAAGCTCCCCCCCCCCTTCACAATCCAACCCCCACTGTCCCCAGCATCACTGCTGTAACCTTGAAATACCACACATTACGGCTCATAAACCCCCTCCCTCCCACACCCCCCAGACCACGAAAAAAAAAAACATTCAACAAAGGTATATACGGACGTTTTACTACACTGAACTCTGACCTCCTACATAGTTTATTGGTATTTTCTCAAGTTCAAACATCAGCACTGACGTCACTGTATGCTAAATACAAGTAAAAACGGACGAGATATAAAAGTAAATCGACCCAGATTTAGTATTCCAGTCACCAGACCGGTTACTTCATTCTTAATTATACAAACATTAAAAAATAAATAAACGAGTAATAAAACTGAGTTACATCATAATTACAATGCGTGTGTTTAGTTATATCTGACTCTGTGACGTCATTAGACGCCTAATTATGCAAAAGTAAAACAAAAAAAAAACAAGTTGTATAACCTAATTACCGCATTATTTAATACCCTTCTCTCCGCATCATTTTATGTCTTTTTAAAAATAAAATATGTTAATTAGATTCAGTGGCGTCACAAGGCGGGGGAGGGGGTGGTATGGTTTGAACAGGGTGACACCATTTGAGTGGGGAATGGGGGTGTGACACAGTAAAATGGTAAAATTACTTGTTGTATCAATGTTTTATCCAGTTAACATAATAAAGTAGAACAGGGTGGGGTGACACCAAACTGAAAATGAAAAATTTTTGGAGGTGGGTCAGGGAACATCCTCAGTTACGGCATTGGGCGACACCCGACCTAGC